AAATGGAAGAAGTTGTAGGTATTACCATAAGCACACCAGAGTATTGGAGGGGCAGTGCCCTCAAGGGTTAGAAAGACTTGGGTCTGCCTTTGACCTCGCCCCTTACTAGTTGTGTGATCATATCCAAGTCCCTTTGCCTCTACCCATCTGTAATGGGGAAAATTGTACCTGATTCACAGTTATTGTGATTTTTTTTTTTAGTGAAGCAGTTGGGGTCAAGTGACTTGCCCAAGGTCACACAGCTAGGCCATGTCAAGTGTTTGGTCTGAGGCCGGATTTGAACTCAGGTCCTCCTGACTTCAGGGCCGGTGCTCTACCCACTGCGCCACCTAGTTGCCCCCCATTGTGATTCTTTTATGAGATAATCTACTTCAAGCACTTTGCAAAGCTCCAAAGCTAATATAATTTCAATTATATTATTTCCTTTAATTAATTTTTGATGAACTGAATGCCACATGCAAGTACTGGGCCAGGCACTGGAGATTCAAAGATTAAACCAAACTGCTTCATGACCTTAGTCATCAAACATTAATTTATTAAATAACTGCTATGTTCCAGGCAAGCGAAGTAGTGGGAATACAAAGACAAATAAAAAGAAAGACAGTGTTCCCCCTCACAGAGCTTCTGTTCTTTTTTTTCTGCTACAACAAAAGGAACTTTACTTAAAAATAATTTCTTTAATGTTTTAAAATTAATTTATTTTAGTTTTCAACATTCACTTCCAGAAGATTTTGAGTTCCAAATTTTTTCCCCCTTCCTCCCCAAGACGGCATGCAATCTGGTATAGGCTCTGCAAATAATATTGTACCTATTTTCACATTAGTCATGTTGTAAAGAAGAATTAGAACCAATGGGAAGAACCATGAGAAAGAAGAAAAAAAAAAGAAAGAAAAAAAAGAGCAAATAGTATGCTTCGATCTGCATTCAGACTCCATGGTTCTTTCTCTAGATGTGTACAGCATTTCCCATCACAAATCTTTTGGAGTTGACTTAGAGACTTGCATTGCTAAGAAGAGATAAGTCTATCAAAGTTAGTTATTGCACATTGTGGCTGTTACTGTGTACAATGTTTTCCTGGTTCTGCTCATTTCACTTTGCATCAGTTCACATAAGTCTTCCAAGGTTTTTCTGAAACCATTCTGCTCATCATTTCTTTGTTTTTGTTTTTGTTTTTAGGCAATTGGGGTTAAGTGACTTGCCCAGGGTCACACAGCTAGTAAGTGTCAAGTGTTTGGTCTGAGGTCGGATTTGAACTCAGGTCCTCCTGACTTCAGGGCTGGTGCTCTACCCAACTGTGCCACCCCATTTCTTTTTTTTTTAAATTAATTTATTTTTAGTTTTCAACAATCACTTTCATAAGCTTTTGAGTTTTAAATGTTCTCCCCCTCCCAGCCCACCTCCCTCCCCAAGGCAGTGTGAAATCTGATATAGGCTCTACATATACATTCTTATTAAACATATTTTCACATTAGTCATGTCGTAAAGAAGAATTAGAACCACAAGAAAGAAGAAACAAAACACAACAGAAGAAAAAAGAGAACAAATAGTATGCTTGATCTGCATTCAAACTCCATAGTTCTGTCTCTGGATGTGGATAGCATTTTCTATCACACTGCTCATCATTTCTTATAGCACAATAGTATTCCATACATTCAGATACTACAATTTGTTCAGCCATTCCCCCTAAAAATAATTTTTTTTGGCAGACTTGGGTGAATAGGGAAAAGCTCTTTAGTTGGCTATGTATAGGAATGAAAAATAGTTAATAAATAACATTAGTGTAACAGACCTCTAAACATTAACAATGCATTGGCAGACAAAGTGGACTTAACCCAAAATGAATCTTAAAGCTCTGCTAATTATTCAAGGAGTTTCCATTCTAATGAGGGAAGACTATGGTTAGTGGGGGGAAGGTGACCATGTTGGGTGGGACATGCTGGAGAAGACAAGAGAATCAGGAAGTCAGAAAGCAGAGGCAGGGAAATGAAGGTATGAATGTGTTCGGTCCGGCTCTAGGCCCTCCATAAAATGAAGGGTCTCCAGGAACTGCCCAATCGGAGGAAGAGGCCAAGGAATCTGCCATCTTGAGATGGCTGCTGGAGAATGCACAAAAGAGGGACAGGCCAGTACTTCAATGGCTGTGGGCTACCATCCATGTAGGTCTTGTCTCCAGTGGGAATCATGGAATCTCAGAGTCGGAAGAGACCTCTGAGGCTGTCTAGCCCAATATGTGTCCAAACAGGAAACTCCTCTGGCATTTCTGGCAAGTGGTCATCTTCCAACTTCTGCCTGAGGAACTCCATTGATGGGGAACTCACTACCTCCTAAGGCATCCCAGAACACAAGCCATTCACACTTTTTAAGCCTGGTCACCTCTTGTCCAGGTCCTCCCTTAAATCTGCTCCCAACATGCGAGAGGGCTTTCCTCTAACTCTCCTAGAATTACATGAAGACCAGAGCTGCACACGGGCTGTCCATCTGATAGCCAGCCCTCTCACTACATGACCTGCAGCTTCCTCTTCACTGGTATGCTCCTTGATGATGTCACCCTTTTGTGTGCTGTTGGCCATTGGCATATACTGTATCCTGTTTATGTGCACCAGGGGTTCCCATTGGCCTTTGGGGTTCTGGTTAATTTTGTTTTCTAGCTGTCACTGGATCTGGCCTCTGTCCTCTCTGGGCAGGTTTCCTCCACCCAGTTGTCAGTGGACTTCCCTTCGGTGCTTCTTAGACTATACTCATACAGGGAGATTGTCTATCCCACCCCAAGTAGAATGTGAGTGTGTGTGTGTGTGTGTGTGTGTGTGTGTGTGTGTGTGTGTTTAGCACCCCGAGATGGATTACTGCAGATGGGCACCTTCTCTGAAACCTTAGAGCCCCAGAGCTAATTGTAGAATTGATTTGAATTGAATCAAAGGTGGGTCCTCTTTGCACACTAAACCCACAGACACCTTACCTTCCTGTTCATTTCTCGTCCAAGATCTTCCTGGTGCTGGGGCTAGGCCAGGAGCAGCTGTGAGATCATGGGAAGGGCCTTAGAACATCAATGTCAGGAGTGGGAGGGACCTTAGAACAGGGGATGTCAGAGCTGGGAGGGGCCTTAGAGCGGAGTCAGAGCTGGGAGGGCCTGTTCAGAGCTGGGAGGGGCCTGAGAGCAGGGGATGTCAGAGCTGGGAGGGGCCTGAGAGCAGGGGATGTCAGAGCTGGGAGGGGCCTGAGAACAGGGGATGTCAGAGCTGGGAGGGGCCTGAGAACAGGGGATGTCAGAGCTGGGAGGGGCCTGAGAACAGGGGATGTCAGAGCTGGGAGGGGCCTGAGAACAGGGGATGTCAGAGCTGGGAGGGGCCTGAGAACAGGGCATTTCAGAGCTGGGAGGGACTTTAGCATATAGATTTCAGGGACTGGAAAAGATTTCTACCTCATAAATTTAGAGCTAGAGTCAGACTACGAATCATCCTATAGAATTCACCTGTTTTGTTGGTGTTCAGCCATGTCTAACTCTTCAACACCCCATTTTGGGTTTTCTTGGTAAAGGTACTGGAGTGGTTTGCCATTTCTTTCCTTAGCTCATTTGACAGATGAAAAAACTGAGGCAAACAGGGTAAAGTGACTTGGCCCAGGTCACACAATTAGGAAGTGCCTGAGGTTGGATTTGAACTCAGGAAGGTGAGTCTTCTTGACTCCAGGCTGGGGGGAGACTCTACCCACTGAGCTACCTAGCTGCTCAGTTAAGTCCAAACCCCTTATTTATGCAAACAGGGCCAGTGAGGTCTAAATGACTTGCCCGAAGTGACCTGAGAATACTGAATGTTCCAAAGGACCTTAGAAATCTTCTGTTCGAGGCTGACTTCAGAAAAACCTGGAAAGACTTATATGGTCTGATGCTGAGTGAAATGAGCAGAACCAAGAGGACTTTGCACACAATAACAGCCACGTTATGCAATGACTAAGATTGTTAAACTAAACCCTTCTCAGCATTATGAGGATCTAAGACATCTCCAGAGTCCTCGGGATGTTAAATGCTGTCCACATCCAAAGAAAGAACTATGGAAGTCGAATCGCCATCACTTATTTTTACCTTCTGTTGAGTTTTGTTTCATCTTTCTGATGGTTCCTCCTATTGGTTTTAATTTTTACTTACAACTTCACTAATGTGAAAATATGTATCATGGGTATGTAAATGTAAAGCCTATATCAGATTGTGCGCTGTCTTGGGGAGGGTGGAGGGGGAGGAAAAGGGAGAAAAAAAAATTCAACTCAAAAGCATATGGAAAAAAATAAATTTAAAAAAAATCTTCTGTTCATAACCCCGATTGCCATATAAGCTCCTGGAGGGCAGGGACTGTTTACTCTGGGTAAGTCACTTAACCCCAATTGCCTCACCAAAAAAAAAAAACCCAAAAAAACGCAACTTCAGTTCCAGTTATTCCCACACACACACACATATTGTACTCTCAGCACCCATCACGGGGGCCTGGCACATAGAAGGTGCTTAATAAATGTTTTTTGACTGCCCAGAAGAGGAACCTTGGCCTAGAGAAGAAAATTGATGTGCTGAAGGTCACATCACAGACCCAAGACCAAAATGATCAGTTTCCTTGCTAACTTTACACACCTTGTTGCAGCTTGGGGCAATCTTAGCCCATCCTCCCCTCCCCAGGTGGAGGACTCCCCTATCAGATTGTGAGCACCTTGAAAGCAGAGACCATGTTTTTGTCTCTGTTGCATCCTCTCGCCTTAGCACAGTGCCCGGCACACAGTAGGAGCTTATTACATGTTTGTTGACTATTTGGTGTGGGGGGCCCAGTCAATCAAGAAGCATTTATTAAGTGCCTACTATGTGCTAGGAGTTGTGCCAAAGGGTGGGCATGTACGTTCAACTGAGTTCATCCTCCCGAGCAGTTTCCCCACCGGCGATCCCTAGGTAGCACGGGGCAGGAGGATGGGAGGGGGAAGGGCGTGGGGCGGGGGCGGGGAGCTTGTGTGTAGGTCGGTGTGTTTGGGTGCTCGTCTGGGGCACGGAGAGCCAGGCGAGGTGGGGGCCTCGGCGCGAGGATGCGCAGATGTAGGCGAGGAGGCGGCCCGGCAGGCAGAGCCCCGGCCGCGGCCCTGGGTGGGGAGTAGGAGCGGAGGGAGCTGCGCCCGCGGGGCCGGTCTGCGGCCCATCGCGCCGCCCCTTTCCCGGGGCCCTTCCGCCGGCCCTGGGCACTCGCCGTGCTAGGAAGCCTGCCCGCCCCCGGGCCGGGGGGAGCGCACCGGAGGAAGAGGAAGATCGAGAGCGGCGGCAACGGCGGCGGCCGGAGGAGGGAGGAGAGAGGGGGAGCCAGAGGAAAGGACTAGCCCGCGGCTGCAGCCCCCGCTCCCCGCCGCGCGATGGAGGCCCCGGAGCAGCAGCAGCGGCAGCGGCAGCGGCGGCGGCGGCGGCGGCGGCAGCAGCAGCAGCAGCAACAGCGCAAGCAGCGGCGGCGGCTCTAGCCCGGCGGCCCCCCGCCGCGTGCGCCAGTGGCCATGGCCTTGGTGACCCTGCAGCGATCGCCCACGCCCAGCGCCGCCTCCTCGTCCGCCAGCACTAGCGAGGTGAGTGAGGGGCCGAGCCCAGGGCGCCGAGGCCCGTGCGTCCCTCCCGGGACAGCCAGGCCCCTGCTGCAGCCAGGCCGGCCAGCCCCCCGGCTCGGCGGCGTCGCCCTGGCCCCGGGCGTATCTTGGGGGCCCTTCCTGAGCCGCGGGGGGCGGGGGGCTGGGACCCTCTGGATCCGTCTGGGAGACTCTGGGGCCGGATCTCAGTGTTCCCGGGTCTCTGCCTGAGTCTCTCTCTGTGTGTCTGTATCACTGCGTCTCTCCTTTAGTTTCTATGCATCTCTTCCCGAGTCTCTCTGCGTGCCTGGGTGCCTCTGGGGGTCCTGGCTGAGAATCTTGGTCTCTCTCTTAGTTTCTATGTGTCTCTCTCTGAGTTTCTGTGCCTGTGTCTGTGTGTCTGTATGTCTGCATCTCTTGGCTTCTCTGTGTCTCCCTGAGAGTCTCTAAGCCTGGGTCCCTTTGGGCTTCTTCCTGAGTCTCTCTCTGTGACTGGATGACTTCCTCTTCCCTCAGTTTCTCTGGGTCTCTTTCCGACTCTCTGTGTCCCTGGGTCCCTCTGGGCTCCTTGCTGAATCTTTCTGTGGGTGTCTGTATGACTTGGGGTCTCCCTGGATCCTTCTCTTAGTCTCTCTGGGTCTCTTGGGGGTTTGAGTGCCTCTGGGTATCTAACTCTTTGTCTTTCTGGACCATCTCTGTGTGTCTCAGTCTCAGTGTGTGCCTGGATCCCTCAGTTCCTCACTGGATCTCCCTTTGTGTGGGTCACGTCAAGCTCATCTCTTAAGTCTCTGTCTTTCTGGATATCTCTTTGGGCCTGGTTCTCACGGGTATGGCACTCAATCTTCTCTGGATATCTCTGGGTCATTCTGGATTTCTTTCTGAGTCTCTATGCTTGGGCCGCTCTGATCCTTCTGTGGTTTTCTGTATTACTCTGGGTCTCCCTCCCTCTGTGTGTCTCTCTCTAGGTCTCCATGCGCGTGTTTCTGGGATCACCATTTGTCTCTCCTGCTTTCTGTGTCTTGAGCTCTCTGGTTGTGTCTGTGTGACTGGGTCGTTCAGGGTAATTGACTTTTAGTCTGTATCTGCATATTCATATATGTGGGTTTCTGTGCCTGTGTGTGTGTGTGTGTGTGTGTGTGTGTGTGTGTGTGTATGTGTGTGCTTCAGAGAGAGAGAGAGAAAGTAAGAGGATGGGAGAGAAAGAGGTCAATCGCACCTATGATTCTGTATCTTTCTTTGCCCCTTCTTTCTTGGGGGAGGATGGGTCAAGGAGAGCAGGGCACAGGTCAGAGGTTCCTCCTCCGGAGCTGAGTGAGGGATACTTGGTGGTAGTGGGCCAGTGAAGAGCCCTCTGCCCCCCATGGTCACCCCCAAGTATCCACCACTGTCCACTTGCCTTGAGAACCTCTGCCTAGGCTGCCTTCAAGCCAGAATGCTTACCCTGTAGACATTCATAGGTCTGGAGAGGGATATAAGGAGTGTACTGTCCTGAGGAGGCAGGGAGGCTTAGAAGAAAACCTGACCAGGCTAGGAAATTGCCTGGTGACTTTTGGAGGACTCTTGTTTTGGGAGGGGGGGGGATTGCCTGAGGACTTGGAAACTGTGCATTTGGAAGGCCAGCCTCAGTCTCTTGGCTTCTGGCCTCTGTTTTCCTGGACTTTGTGGGTATGCCTGTATGAGGAGGCCTGGGTTCAAATACAGACTCAGATAAACTTCTCTAAGGTTCATTTCTTCATCTCTAAAATGGGGATAATGGGGGCAGCTAGGTGGCGAAGTAGATAGAGTACCGGCCCTGGGATCGGGAGTATCTGAGTTCAAATCCAGCATCAGATACTTGATGCTAGCTGTGTGACCTTGGGCAAGTCACTTAACCCCATTGCCTAGCCAAAAGAAAAGAAAAAGAATAAAATGGGGATAATAATAATAATAACACCTGCTGCATAGGGTTGCTGTGAGATTTAGGTGAGACTGGACCTGGAGGTTCCTAAGGAACTCCCAGCCTTCTTCTGTGCAGCTTAGGGCTTATTTTGAGAGTTACCCAGGGTCACACAGTCAGTATGGGTCAAAGGTGACCTCTGAACCCAGCTCTTCCTGGGTCCCCAGCCAGCTTTTAATCCAGTAGGACATGATGTCTGCAAGTGAGAGAATATGTGTAAAGCTCTTGAAGGACTGTATAAATGTCAACTAATTATAATTAATTATTGTTATTCTCTATCAAAAGGAGCTAGGGCTCAACTTGGCTGTTTCTGGGACCTCAAAAGGGAAGCAATAGGGAGTAGAGCCCTGGACTCGGAGGCAGTAACACCTGAGTTTAAATCCCAGCTTTACCACTAACTACCTGTATGACCCTGGGCAAGTCACTTAAGCTGTTAGGGCCTCAGTTTCCTCATCTCTCATAACTCTAGACCTATGGGCCTTAGAAGAGAAACCAGCTTTAGCAGCCCCATCTGAGGCTGTGATGGTGAGGTCACCTGAGATGATACACTAGCCTGTGACACCCTTCTCCCCCTTCCCTCCAAGAAGGGGCTTTTCTTAAACCTGTTAAAATTCTCAGCTCAGTACCTATTGCCATCCACTGCTGGCTGGCCTCTGGGCCTATCTTGGGTTAACATTCTTAAAACTACCATTGGCAGATTATTTTTATTAAGTTCCAGAAACCCAGTGGCCCCATGAAGAAGGTACAATTAGACTTCTTTCCTGCTGCTTTGATCAGAATTCTGATGAAACAATAAGCTTCAAAGAGGATGGGGTGTCCCAGACTCTGAGAGAAGGTGGGGTGCCCCAGGCTCTGAGAGAGAAGATGGGGTATCCCTGGCTCCAAGAGAGAGGATGAGGTGTTCTGGTCTCTGAGAGAGAAGATGGGGTGTCCCAGGCTCCGAGAGAGAGGATGGGGTGCCCCAGGCTATGAGAGAAGATGGGGTATCCTGGGCTCAGAGAATATGGGGTGTCCCGAGGTCCCAGAGAGAGGATGGGGTATCCATGGCTCCAAGAGAGAGGATGGGGTACCCTGGGCTGTGAGAGAAGATGGGGTATCCTGGGCTCAGAGAGAGAATATGGGGTATCCCGGGCTCCCAGAGAGAGGATGGGGTATCCATGGCTCCAAGAGAAAGGATGGAGTGTCCCTAGCTCCAAGAGAGAGGATGGAGCACCCCGGACTCTGAGAGAGAAGATGGGGTGTCCCAGGCTCCCAGAGAGAGGATGGGGTACCGCAGACTCTGAGAGAGCATGGGGTGTCATGGGCTAGAGTGAGGGATAAATATTATTAAATGGAGGTGAACATTCCAAGCTCTGGGCTGTTTACCAGAATCTCTTCTGGACTTTGGTGGTCACTGAGGATGTCTTGTCTCCTCTGGTAGATTGTTGTCTCCTGGAAGGGAGAGGGTGGAGCTTTATTCAGTCTACATGCCACCCCTTCCCACAAGAGCCATTAACTTACCCATGCTCCCTGAGTGTTCATAGAATGAACGAAGGCACAGGTGCTGTTTGAGCAAAGGAAAGGAGATATTTGATCCTGTCTTTGGTCAAGAGGACATTGTTCTGAGCACACCAGGGGAAGGAGAGCTGGCCGAAGAAGGCGCCCCCTGTCCTGCACTCGGCAACTGTGTGACCTTGGGGGAGGCCTTGGGGGCTTCATCTTCTAAGGAATGAGAAGGTTGGACTGGATGATTATCAAGGCTCTGACATCCGCTGTTCTAAGGCCCTCCCAACTCCTATGTTCTATATTCCCTCTCCTTGAGGCCTTCCCAGCTCTGACATTGTATGATCCCATCATGTAGCTCCCTCTTACCCCTAAACAAGGGCCTGCGGTGATCTCTCAGTGTCTGTCCTGCAGGGACCTCAAGCGGCCGTAACTCTGACACACCTCACCATCTCCACACAAAGTGGACTTCATGCAGCCCTGAAATGCTTTCTGGGGTGAGACAGAACAGACTCAGGCCTCAGACACAGCAGCTCTGAGCCATCCCCCTTCTTGGCAGCATCTCTCCCTCCCCCTCTCTCTCTCTCTCTCTCCACTCCCTCTATTCCTCCCTTTTCTCTCTCTCTCCCTCTTTCTCCTCTGTGTCTTTCTACCTCCCTCCCTCCTTCTCTCTCTCCCTCTCCCTCTCCCTTTCTCCTCTCTCTCTCCTCCCTCCCCCCTTGTCCCTCTCTCTCTCCCCCTCCCTTCTCCTTCTCTCTCTCTCTCCCCCCCTTTCTCCCCCTCCCTCCTTCCTCTAGTCCCTTTTATCCTGTGTGAGTGAGTGACATCCCCCAGCATGGGGAATGGGGGATAGAGACAAGACACTGCTTCTCTCCTCTGCTTGGGGCTGAGTTTGAATTGAGGCAGCAGGGAATGATTGGATAGAGAGCTGGACTCCTCATCCAGAAGACCTGGATTCAGTTCCTTCCTCTGACATATAACTATGTGACCTTGGATAAGTCACTTCCCTTCCTCAGGATTCCAGAGTAGGAGCTGATCTGCTGTTGGTTGAGGATATTTTCTCGCTAGAGCTTCCCTACATGGATAAAATCATTCAGTCAAGGCATTTTAAAGTACCTACTATGTTCCAGCCACTATGCTAAATACTGAGAATACAAAAACAGGCAAAGCAGAGGTGGGGGGGAAAGGGCAAGGGAGTGGGGAGGAGGGGCGTTTGAATATTATTATTTTTTTTAGGCAATTGGGGTTAAGTGACTTGCCCAGGGTCACACAGGTAGTAAGTATCAACTGTCTGAGGCAGAATTTGAACTCAGGTCCTCCTGACTCCTGCACCGGTGCTCTATCTACTTACTGTACCACCTGCTGCCCTGCTGAATTCTTAAAAACAAGAATTTCTACAAATAGATACCAACGATTACTATTGCAGCAGACATCTAAGGTGTTAATGGGAATCATATTTGAAAATTTACTCCATGGCAAAGCTTGAATGGCATTAGAAATGATCTTTTCCAACTGCCCATTTTATAGAGGAGAAAACTGAGTCTCACAGAGAGGTGGGGTAGCTTGCTCAAGGTTGCACAGATTG